AATTTGTGGCTAGATAAGTTTGGAAAAACACTACCTTATGTATCCACACTTTAGTAAAGCTAGGATGAATGTTAGTCTGTTTTTGACTCTATAAGTTCTATAATAAAGAAAGCTGTTTAATCTTGTTAAACCCAGCATTTCCCAAATTTAGTCTCAAGACCTTGTATACAGATGTTTAAAGCAGCATTATTCATAATAGTTAGAGCATGGAAGCAACCCAATGTCCATCAATTGATGAATGGATACTCAAAATGTGAGATACATGTATCTCCATTTAATATACCAGTTCAGTGGAATATTATTTGGCCATTAAAAGGAATGAAGTACTGATTCATGCTACAACATAGATGAACCTGAAGAACACTATGCTACGTGGAAGAAGCCAGAGACCAAAAGACCACCTATTGTTTGATTGCATTTATATGACGTGTCCATAATCGGCAAACCCACAGAGACAGAGAGCAGGTTAGCGTTTGCCATGTGCTGGAGCAGGGGAAATGGGGAGTGACTGCTGATGGGCACGGGCTCTTTTTGAGATGATAAAAATACTCTGCAGTTAGATAGTGGTGATGGCTGCCCAACTCTGAATCTACTAAAACCGCTGAGATGTACCTTTTAAAAGGGCGACTTTTATCATATGTCAATAAAGCTGCTATTTAAAAAATAACCATAAAAAAGAGGTTGTAGCAGCAACTAAGGTGAGGTGTGATAAGGGCTTAAAAGAAGGCAGTGAAGCTAGAAAGGCATGTAGAGAATGGAGGGGTGACCTGAGGCGCCTCAGGACGGATTCTTACCGACAGGGATGTGAAGTCACGGGGCCGAAACCCTGGGGAGACAGTGCTGTGCCGGGCCCTCTGATGCCCACGTTTGCACTTGAGCAGTGGCTAGCTTCACCAAGGACGAAGGAATTCTGTACACGTGGCAAATAAAACCCTGTAACGAAAACCATTGCTTCTGTAGTCACGTTAGGGATGGCTAAAGCAGTGCAGAGTTGTCGCTTCGCCTTTAAACCTTTCATAGCTGAAAACATTTGTCATGCTGCCCCATAGAGTTTGGGTAACCTGTCACTACTTAACATGGCGAGGTGTTTTGTGGGGGAAGATAAGGGGACATGGCCCTTGCCTGCAGAAAATGTAACCTTACTGACCTCGTAGGAGCTACTCAAAGGCTGTCCTCACCTTTCACGAGGAAAGACATCCAAGTGACTTGCCAAATGTCACATAGAGGGCAACAGAGCACACGGATTATAAATTTGGGAAGGCGAACACAGATTTTTGGATTATCTTCTTTGTGCCATCATGTGGCAAAGGCCGACTTCTTGCAGTTGGGTACTCATTTTAGTCAGCTCCTTGACCCAGGTGGGGAAACACTTTAACCTTCTATCTCCTGGGATGCCAAGGTCATGATACTCCCTTTGGGTCCGAGGATGGTGCAGCCAGGGTCAGGTGCTAGTCTCTCCTTTACTCTCCCAGTGTGGTCGGCAGGAATGTTAGGAACTCCTTACGAGTTCATAGCTCAGTGAAGGCTCACAGGAGGAGTTTCAAATGAGACAGCAATGGGTGGTCTGACATTTTTGTGGACTCTCATTCCACCAGACCCAAGTTTCCTGTGCAAAGCCAAGTCTTCAGCCGGAGGAAGCCAGTGTGTTGCTGAGACTCTTACCGGCATTTCAAAAATTGCTTCTAAAGTGGACTGTGTCTAACACGGAGCTGAATGTCTATCAAATTTACAGAATTCTCTTTATTACTGGTTTCTGAGATAGGTTGGGGAGGAGAAAGGAGCCTTAGTGTTTTTGTGTGTGTGTTCTTTTTAAATTTTATTGGGCAACAGCCATGGTCATTGGTTACACATTGCTTTCATGCTACAATGGCATAGTTGACTATTTTAAGGAGGGCACAGCTCACAGTGGCCCATGCGGGGATCGAACCAGCAACCTTGGTGTTATCAGCACCATGCTGTAACCAACTGAGCTAACTGGTCACCCCAGGAGCCTTAGTTTGGGAGTCATAAGGGCTACGCTACTCCAGACAGGCTTGGAGAGGCCATGGGATGGAGCACAGGCCCTCTGGTGTTTAACTGAGCTGGGTCTGAAGACTGATGTGCCTTAGATGAAGTTTCTGCTTAACCTGTGGCCTCACCTGTGCAGTGGGGATTACCATCCTCTGCAGGACTGTTGAGAGGGTTAAATGCGATCGTGTGTGGAGAACACTGGGGCATGGCAGAGCTATTACTGCATAAGTCACTTAACTTTTCTGACACTGTTTCCTCTTAAAGAGTAAAGATGATGCCTTGGGCCTTTTAGGGTAACAGAGGATAAAATGAGATAGTGTGTAATTATGTTATATAAATGTATTCCCAAGGTTTAATTAGAGAAGCCCTTCACAAGGATCTTGGTAACTCATTCGAGCTTCAGTACTAATGCATGTATCCTTATGTAGAACTAGAATTTTTCCTCCTTCATTATTGCCCTTTTCATCTTACCTGACCTTCCAAGAACACAGAGGAGTTTTGATGTTCGTCTCTTTTCATGAAAATCTTCATGCACTGAATGAAAGATAGAATCCATTCACCCCTAGCCTTTAGGTTGAAAAAAAAAAAATCTTGGTTATTACTGGCCATCATTTTCTTATGTATAATTCTTTTCCTTTCACAGTCTCGATGTGGCTGCTGCTTTATTTCCTTATTTATAAAACTTCAGTGCAGCTAGACTTCAGATGGTTCTCTGGGTTGATTGTTCTGTAATTTAGTTGTAATTTTAAAGTGGTCACGGGAGGAGGCAGGCCCAGCGTTTATCTAACCCGCCATCTTGGAGCCTCTTGAGTATGTGTAATTCTTGGTGACTTTATTCTGAACTCTTTCTGACATCGCCATTGCTGTGGTGCCCGAAGTAGGAAATGATCTTTGAGAATTTCTCAGACCGTAGTGGGAAGATGACTTTCTGCCCCTCATTCCCTATTTAAAAGATGTATATCTTTATTATAAAATTAATGTCATCGCTTTCTATACATTTTGGAGAAGAGGGAAGAACAATTGCCCATACATAATTCCATCAGTGCAATTAATTAGTAGTTTTATGCCTGTGAACCTATCACTTTTATGTACATATTTTACGTATCTTTATATATATAGTTTATGTAACCATGATCACATACCAAGATGAATCATGCTTTTTCTCTCTTACAATGTTCTCTGTATTGTTGTGTGTCTTTAGTACCTGGCTCTTAGAATTGTGAGGATTCCATGCTTTAAGTGCTTAGCATGGTGTCTGACATATAATGTGTGTCAATTCATGGGAGCTGGTTATTCTTCTGGGACTCACCCACAGCTGGTATTATTTCCTCAGGGATGCCCAGAGGTGGATAACCTGGGTCAGGGACTCTTTAGTCTGTTGATACACGGCGCCTGCCACATTGCTTTCTAAAAGGCCATTTCAGTTTACAAAGTCTTTGGCGCTACTCAGAAGGTTCACCACTTCTCATCAGGACTTGAAGTCCTCGCCCACCCTTTTTAGGTTTTTAGGTTTGGTAAACCAATTTAGTAGGGAATGATGTAACCTTATTATTTTAAGTTTCCTTATTTAATAATTACCAGTGTTGAACTTTTTTGTTGAATGTTTACTAGCAATGTCTCCTCTTTGTCAGGTCTGTTTATAACTTATTTAACAGTTGGAATCACTTAACATTTTCTTATTGAATTACATGGGCTGTTTGGTAAAAATATTCTGTGTCGTGTGGACTGCAAATGCTTTTCCTGACTTATTTTTGGCTATGAGTTTTAAAAAAAATTCACACATATGCACGTGCACACACACACACACACACACACACACAGTGATCCATCTCCATTTGTGGTTGTCACAGTGGACTTCGTCACTATCCATGCCAGGTCTGATGATAGTACCTCGAGGCCAACAAGAGACACTCCCTATGGTTACTTGGGCTCCTAATATAGTGGACACGTCTTTTATGGTAAAACCTAATTTTTTTTTTTTTTTTTTTTTACCATCCCAGAGTTAAGTCAAAAGTACACAGCTCTTCATAGACCCAGAGAACATTGGTTTTGGGAAACAGAGTAGATAAAGAAGAAGTTGACAAAACTATTGCCCGGTTTTCATAACAGGTTATATAATTTCAGTGCTTCGCAATTAGAATCTGCGAGACATTCTTCATCTAGGACTGATGTTTCTGAAGCTATCATTGCAGGTTTTTATTTGGCGAGTGTATGTTTCCTTCATCATAAGGCCTCAGCCAAGTTCTCTGACTCCCACTCCCACCTACCCTGGCCCAGATTTCTTTCTTGCAAGGAGACACTCAGTCTTGATGAGATTTGGGGATTAGGTAATGCTTGTAAGTCTACCTTGTCCTACTAATCTAAACTTCTTTCCCTGCAAGAGGGTGGGCAATCCTATCTGGTGACCTCCATTTCCACCCTGGCAAGCCTTGCACCAGTACTCTTAGCAGAGCAAAGTCTGTCTATGTGACATGTTTGAGAACAGCCTCAGGCGTGACTGAAGAAGGCAGGGAAGCCACCTTGACTGAATGCTAGGATAGAAATCACACCTTGTTCTTCCTGGAGGAAGCATGCTGTGTTTCTTCTCAGGCCAATGAGTTGGAGTTGCCATGTAGCTTTGGCACAGTCCTCCCCCCCCCCCCAAAAGGATCCGAGGCACAGGCGTTAGACCGTGGGAAGCGAATATGGAAGCTTTCAGCTGCACAAGTGTAATAAGCGCGCTTACAACCTAAGGAAGAGCCCCAGGTCAAGTCCAGAGTGTTTGCAAGTACCTTTCAACTTTGACCTTTAATCACCCTTTCTTCTTAGCTTCCTTTCAGCTCTATACGTTCCCTTGCTAAGGAGTCCCATTCTTTCTCATCAGCAAGACCTGCATTAAAGTCTGTAAGAGCCCAGACAGCTGATGTATGAGGAAGAACAGGCCTACCCTGGGGTCTCCCATCCCTGAGGCACGGACGGCGGCACACAAAAACATTGCATGGGCTTCCGAGTCTAGATCTATAAATATATTTATTATAATATAACAAGAACAATAAACATATACTATGTACAATACCATTACAGAGAACCCTGTTTTATATCATTCACAGAAATAGCCAGTTTTGCTCCAGTGTGATAGATGAGGAGAGAAACGGAATTTCAATGCCATCTGTGTTGAGTCCCGCTGACCGCTAACACCTCCTTTGGAGGCAGACGCACACCAACGCTAACATTAGCCCTGCCCCAGGCAGTTAGAAATTTGTGCTCCAGTCCTTGGGTTCACACTTGCACCCTGTTTGACATAAATACTTTAAATGACATACAATGTATGTAGTTTTGTGCTTATTACTTTTTAAAAGAATAAATAATATTAAAAACTGCATAACGAAGCTCAGTATCTTGTCCAAGTGGGAGCCACGCTTGTAGGGCTAGAAGCTGATGCTCGACATTAGAACTGGAATTGTGTGTCACCGCGTACGGAAACAACGAAAGCGTGTCCTGTCCTTGTCTCCATATAAATGGTTTTTATCGTGAAATGACAGCAAGTTGACGTCCCAGATATAAAAATGGTGAATGTGTATTTGGTACCAACTTCAACTAAACAGCGCAGTGGCGGCGGCACTCTTGCCCTGGAGTGGAAACTCATCGCCACGTGAGGTCTGAGGGTCTGTCTCGTCGGAGCCACAGTGGTGTCCCCTCCCCCCGGCTTCCCTTTCTCAGGCGAACATGCTGTAAGGAGAGGGATGCTGCTCAAGCCCTCAGGCCCTGGCTGACATGGCTCGTCTAAGAAGGCTGGACCCATCCTGAGAGCTCGTGTGGCCGGTGCCTTAATATATAGCTATAAATATCAAAAATAGTCTCCTGTGCTTTGTAGACGCCTATTCTCCTTGCGTCCATTCCCACCCGGCCTGGGTCCTCAGCTTTACCTCATGGAGGGAGCTGGACTGGTGTTTCCTTCTAGAACAGAATCTCTTTTTTTTTTCTTTCTTTCTCACAGTGCCTTAATGAGGCACAGCGTTTATGGGGGCTGTCTGGGAGTCACTTTTTCTAAAAATAAAACGGGGGCATTTACCCCTCCCCCCCCCCAGGAGAGCTCCTCTATTCTGCACATAGAAAAATTAGAGCAAACGCCCCACTCTGGCACTACCTACAAAGAGCTTTGGGAATTCCCGTTCTCCCTCTCGTGGCCTCCTCCTCTCAGTACTTAAAAATAGCCTTCTGTGTATCAAGAAAATGCCTTGGAAATCTAAATAATTCATATTGGATAAGGGAAAGCTAGCATGATCATCTTGTCCTGCTCCAGCAAAAACATGGTAGAAAAACCTGTGAAGGGCAGACAGCTCCTCCCCGAGCTGCCCCTGCAGTGCTGCTGCAGCCACATCTGCCTCTGTACGGTGGCTGCATGTCCCTCCAGCCCCGGTGGGGACCAGTGGCCTCTGGGGCCCGTGCCACACAGGATCGTCCCTTGTTCTCTCTCGGCCATTGGAAGTGTAGATTGGTTAAAAACAGAAGTAGGAATCAAAGTGATAAGGACACTTTGATCTTATTCCAAGAGAGCCTGACGCCTGATTTTTGTCATAGGATAACTGATCTGCGGTGGTTTAGGGGTCAAGCTTGCTCTGCAGGAAGGAAAAAAACCAGCTTCTCTCTCCCAGTTGAAAAATATGTGGAACTCTGTGGCACCGGGCAGAGGGAGCCCCTCCGTTCAGAGCAGGTTCTTCCGCAGGAGCCGAGAGGCCCCGTCGCTCTGGTGGTGGCCCCTGCTGCTCCGAGCGCTCAGCCCCCGTCCCCCCAAAGGCGAGGATGATTTTCTACATTCAATGTAGAGAGGATTCGAATGTTTACGCAGTGGGTTTCGTGATTGTGTCTGTCGGCCTCTTCTAGGTGTTGCTGCAGATCCATCACTGTGAGTAGCGTTTGCCTCACCAGACTTGTCCACAGTCTCGTGTGGGCGTTCTGCTGCTGTCAGCCGCTTTGAATATACTTCTTTATCACCACGCAGCCGTGTCTGAACACGGGGCAGGGCATGTGGGGGAGAAGGGTCCACGTGTTGGTGGCGGGCTCGTAGGCTTCCATGTTGCCCAGCGCAGGCCCCTCACTGCTGACAATGCCTCCAGTTGCATAAATCTTGCCATCAAGCACCACGGCACTGTCGGGGAAAGCGCAGGGAGCGTTAGCCATGGAACTGCCACCTCGGACCTGGAGCTAGATTCTCGATACCCTGTCTTGCTGCAGGCTGCCTCTCCTCTTTCGCAAAAGCCATATGGGATCTCACTGCTCTTCTTTGCCCTCTGACCCAAGCTGGTCTAAGAAAAACACCTTTCCTCTAGAGCCAAGCAGGATGCCATGCTGCACTACCCTCCGAGCTGGAGGTGACTCTTATTTATACTGGGTGCCCCAGGACCTGCCAGACCCACTAAAGATGGCTGGGAGATGAACAGCCTCTGTGCACAGGCTCTCGGCTCTCCTCAGAGTCTCTACTGAGCATGGTTCTGAGTTGCCCACCAAGAGCCTTCCTACCGCTCAGATCAGGTCCAGGACGTGACTCACCAGAATGATAGCCGACAGGATAACAAGGGGCTAAGTCATAACAGCATCGGCCACTTCACTATGATGTCCACCCTTGCCCAGGTGCTCAGAGTCAGAGCTTCCTGCTGTGGTTCCTTAATGGTGTTGGCCAGGTGCTGCTGCCCCCGCCCCCCATGACTGCCACCACGCAGGGACGCATCCCCTGTGCCACGTTCACTGGCTTGGCTTGGTCCTGTGTCTCAGTCTGCTGAGCTCCGCACCCTGCTCCTGTCGCACTTCGTCCCTTACTGCCACTCAGCCACCGTCACACAGGTCCACATTTCTAACCCGAGTTTCTCGCTCATTTCAGCAAATACCCATTTCCTGTTGGCTATCCCCTGAAACTGAACAGACGCCCTTTCAATGTGTCCACTCAGTTCTGAAATCCTTAGCCTCCCACAGAACATGTCAGTCTAGACTTCTTACCAGACATGGAAGGTCCCAGCCTTCTCTCTTAATTGCTCCGTGCCATCCGGGCTCCTCTCATTTCTCCCTTTGTGGCATATCTTTCCCTGCTCCTCTCGCAAGACCCAGCTTAAATCTCCCCTCAGGCATCAAGTCTTTCTGCTCCACTTTGAGTCTCAGATAAGGTGTGGGAGTCCTCCCCACAAGCAGTGCTCCAACTCCAGCTGTCTTTATCAGTGGAGAGTTTAGTCAGAGCTGCCCTGCACGTGGCCACCAGTTAGAGTATGTGACATGAAAGCGAGGCTGGAGAACTGTAGACTCTTCATTGTCTCATCCAACTGCCTGTTTCATAGACAGAACTTGCCCAGACAGGGAAAGTGCCTTGTTCAAGGTCACATGATAGGATAGAGGTTACAGCTTTTCTAGCTATACCACACAACAGTGGGCACTCAGTAAGTGCTTCATGCTATTCACATACTGAGGATTTAGTGATTACCTCTTCACAGGCATGTGATGTCTTCAGGAGGGCACTGCTATGGGAATGCTGAAAATGGGGTTCGGTGGCCCCTTCTTATTCCTTGTTCATCTTAGTTCAGGAAAGGGTGGGGTGGAAGAGCAGGGTCTGCGTCCCACTGCCCAGGGGAGTTAAGTTTTCTGGACCAGAGGGCCAGGCCGACTGGCAACCAAGCTACACTCTGACCGCTACCTCGCGTCCTGCGGGGGCTGGTCTGTGTGTGTTTCTGCACAGTCAGCCTGGAGACAGCTGTTCCTTGTGTCCCTCACTGTCCAGCTCCAAAGGGCCATCAGGATCATGCGTGCCATCAGAGCATTCCTCAAAAAGCCACTTGTCTCATGTAGGGTGTCTCACAGCGCTGGCCTGGTGCTGCCTCCAGTCTGTGATGGGGCAGGCGGTCCTGGGGGAGAGCTGACTTCACAGCACCACCCTCACCTGCTGTGTGGCTTTGAAGGACCTGGGGCCTATAGAAAGGCCTTCGTTTCTGGCTTTGAGATGGGGTCAGCTGGAGCCACAGGGCCGGGCTTCTGGGCCAGGGAATGCCCCTGGGGCTTCCCACTCTGTCCTGGCACTCATGTTGATACCTATGGTTGGCGCAGGGGGTGCTGCTCTGGGCCTGGGAATTGCTTTGGTCACCTAATCACTGGTGGTCCCTCGCTGTGTTCAAACCTCTCCTGTCGTCCCTCCTGCCCCACTGCTTCCCCCTTGGCTGAGTTGCTGCGGCCCCCTCACCTGCAGAACTGGCGGGAGTGATTCATGTTTGGGCCTGCTTTAATGTTCCCCTTTTCCGGGTCGTAGATGGTAGTAGCTCTGGCATAAGCCCCGCCCAGGATGAATACCAAGCCATTGAGGGTGATGGCGGGAGCGTACTTGTTGTCTGTGGGGAGAGCAAGGCAGGCAGGTCAGGGGGTCGCTTCTGGGCCTTCCCTCCCCTCTTCTTTCCCAGGGGGCCCCCCAGAGGCAGGGAGCCGGAAAGACACCTCCAGTGTCACTGACTGGCCTGATGACAAGGTCCGGGGCCAGGAGGCACCTGGTGCACAGAGTAGCTTGTCCTCTGTCCAGGTGGTGGGATCTGTAGATGCACCTGGGCTGGGGTTTGCCCCCCCTGCTCCCGTCCCCTGGGTGTGCAGGACCGTTGGGCATAGCCAGCACTCTGGGCTTGGGCTGTTGAGACAGAGTGAAGCCATGAAGTGGGGACACTGCACGGGGCCCGGGCTGAGGAGACAGCTGTTTCTCACCAATCATTGGGGACTCGATGAAGCTCCACGTGTTGGTCTGTGGAACATAAGACTGCAGGACGCCCGCCGCTCGGCCAGCCTCATTCACGCCCCCAAACACATAGATCTTGCCGCCGCACACGGTGGCCGCTGCAGAGTGTACCGCCTTGGGCAGAGGGGCCACTGCTTCCCACTGGTTGGTGATGGTGTCGTACCTGTTGAGAGAGGAGAGACACAGCCTAAGGTCAAAGGTGGGCTCTGTTCAGGGCAGGGGCCTCCACCAGGCAGCAGACATTGGGGAGCCCCTCTCCCCTCGGCACCACTGGCACAGCCCAGGATCACACAGCTGGGGGCCCTGGGATGAGTCACTCAAGGCCACCTAGGATGTTGCCCAAACTAGCTCTCTCAGCCTTCCTCCTGAACCTGGAGAAGTGATGGAACATGAGTTCCAGACCAGACAGGGATAAACGCGAGAACAGGAAGCAGTGCCAGGAAGAGTAGAACTGGCCAAGGAACTGGGATCCTTGAGGCCTTTCTCTCTGGGGCAGCTTGGGTCTCAGTTCTCAGCATCTGTGTCAAGTGTTCCTTGCGGCTGCCCTCACAAGCACTCACTCTGGCCCTCCCAGCGCGGGCCCATCCCCACCTTGCCGACTGCTTTTCCATGTGCTCTGGACCCAAGGCGTGGCCTCCACTGTGGGCTTGCTGCACACTGGGAAGCACACTCGGCCCACTTTTCCCCCGTGAGCCTCCTTGGAGCACGAGCCATAACCTGGTCACAGCTCTGTGACCTAGGAAGATGGACCTCTCTTTGCTGGTGCCCCTGGCTCTGGGAGCAGGGTGAGGGGATTGTGCAACCTCTAGCTCTGAGCTTGTGAAGACTTGGGATGGGGCAGCAGGGGTTGATTCAATTAAAACCCAGACGAATGATATGTGGCTCATAGGTGATGGAGTAAGTGTCTTTTTGGACAGTGTCAGAAGTTCAGATATCTGTTTCTGAAGCCAATATGGCAGAGATCCAAAGAGCTCCTGCAGAAGGAGCTGGGAGACAGTGCAAGATTATGTGGCTGTTAGTCTTCAGGCTTTCGGATTAATGGCACATTCCGCCTAACGCAAATTTCCCGAGAGCTTGGTATTCCAGGTGGCTGATTGCCAAGCCACAAGCCTTCCGTCAGCTCAATCTGTCAGCTTGCTGCTTGAGAAGGATATGCTAATGACATGCAAATGACCCCGCGGAGTGAGGCGTTCCGCTATCATTTATCCAGTAACCACAGCTACTGCCATATATTGCTATAAAATATTAGACCCGGTTATTTATATAATGATATAATACAGGTTTGTCTATTGCACTGTTGTTTTAATCTATAATTATATAATCTTGCTCTATTCCTGTAATACAGTAATGTAATATAATTATAATGCATCATCTATCTCATTCATTATCAATATAAGAGCAATTTGTACCATTAGTGCTTCCTGGGGAACAAAGCACCCTGATGTCTGTCCCCATTACCCTGACCTTCCTGTCACCCTGAATTCTCATCATTGCCACCATGTGGCATTGAACTTGACTTGCCCAAAGGGGCTCAGCTATGCTCCTTGGGAGGCCTGCACCCTCCCTACGACTGCACGCACAAGACCCAGGGGTCCTCAAGTTCGCGTCCTATCCCTAAAAGGACAGCTGACAGACACCAATGGGATGACAAGGGGCTCAGGGCCCCTCAGGGTACCCTGTTGTCCTGGACCGCTCCTCCATCTACTGGGTCCCAGGGTGGTCTTGCTCCCTCTGTGCCCAGCTGTTTCACAGCAGAAGGAAGGCCTGGCCCCCAGGGAAAGCCGGCACAGGCTGCTCCCAGGCCTGGGAGAACTGCTCCTTGGCCCAACGGGAGCGGAGCTTGTCCCCCTCTTGGTGTATTTGATCCTCGAACAAATCCCCGTATTTATCAACAAGTGTAAGTTTGCAAAATGAGTAATCAACGTCTTTAGGAGATTAAAAATAGCTGACAAAAGCAAGACAGGATGACAGATCTAGCTCAGTTTACTCCTACATAGAAAATGTCTCCTTTTTTTATGTGTTTATTATTGGATGACAAACGATTGGAAGTTGGTGCTTCTGGAAGGCTGGGGGCATGATGGCCGTGCAGTGGGTCCCACTGAAGGCTGTCAGCACAGGGCTGACCCGGGTTCAGCAGCAGTATTAACACCCTCTAATCACACAGGGATTCCCCATTATCTCCAAATCAATATGACAATTAAATGTTGTTACTGAGCCATCTCTGGGCTCCACTTGGGGGAGTTAAAAGCCCACAGTGAACATACCGAGCCTGTCTCATTCTGAAACCATCTTTGCTGTAACATTTGTCAAGTGTCCAATTAGCCACCGAGGGAAAAATACAAATCGAGGGGTATGTGTGGCTCCACAGGCGTAAAGCTGTCACACGGGAAGACATGCTTTCTGTGGCGGCTGATGTGGGCCGGGGTGGTGGGCTAGGGTGTGGGAAGGACATGCGAAAGGGTTGTGGTGATCTTTGCTGCGTCCTCCTGGGCTGAAAGTTGGGGCCAGCTTAGCCTAAGTCATTGCTCTCGGGGGCACTTATTTCTCCAAAAGCAGGACTGCATGGAAGACCCCCCCACCCCCTTCCCCATTCTGCTGCTGGCTCCCATGCCTACACCTGATCCCTGTACGTGCCGCTCATTTCAAATGGCATACGGATGTGGTTCCGGGGGCCCATTGGCTTGTGTTCTTTTCTGGAGAATTCTAGATGGTTGACCAGACCTGTGTGCAGAGGGCCCTCCCTGTGTTACAAGCAGGTTTCCTGGGATGTGTGGTGGGGAGGAAAGGAGCCCCCTGCAGTGTAACCTCCCCCTTGGCAGGGACATGGAGGCATAGCCAGCGGCACAACGCACACTTGGGCCACTGGTTCCAGCTTCGCCCCAAATCCCAGCAGGTCTCTGGGCGGGTGCTTCCAGTCCCAGCATGTTCCCTGCCTGCCGGGGCAGGCCGGCCAAGCCCGTCCTGTGCCTTTCCACCACTGGGTCTCATGCCTCCGGCTTGTGTGGCACCTGAATGGGCTGCTGGGACAAGAGTGCGCCATCTCAGTGACAGGGCAGCTGTCATCCCCGCTCCTTTCCCTGTGCTGTGTTTGAAGAGCCTGGGACTGTTGCCTTGCACATGCCCAGTCTCTAGGAATCTCAGTTGGGGGGTGGGGGGTGGGCGTCGGGAAGGAGGCGCTGTGCAAGTTTAGCTTCTGGTGAATGTCACAGGCTGCCCCTGTGGTGACCATGGCCCCCTCACCTCTCCACGTGGTCCACGTTGCCCGACACACCAAGGCCCCCGAGGGTGTAAATCTTCCCATCGTAGACAAGGCTGTTGTGCCGACAGCGGGGCACTGTCATTCTGGACACCAGGTTCCAGTTATCGAGCAGGGACATGTAGCACCAGACGTCAGCCAGCATCACCCCTGATTCCATCCCACCTGTGGGCAGGGAGAGGTCCAGAGAGCAGGCAGCAGTGAGGAGGGGCCAGGAGGAGGAGGCGGCCCCTGCAGGACAGACACTGCTGGGCCCTGGCCTTCCTCAGCCCCGGCATGTGCGGGAAGGCCCGCTGGGGAAGCCCAGGCCCGGCCCCCAACCCAGCCTGAGGGGCCTCACCTGAGAGGTAGATGTTGTCCCCGGCACTCACTACACTGAAGAACTCGCGGTCATAGAAAGGCAGTGAGGCCAAGGGGTACCACTTGTTGTTCTGTGGGTTCCAGCAGGTGACGGCCACCAGCGAGCGCTGGGTCATCCCCACCATCTGACGGCCCCCGACCAAAACGATGACCTCGGCCACACCTGCAGGGACACAGATGGGTACCCTTGGGACACACCCCAACACTCAGCATCGGTACCTGGCGCCCCTCTGGGGGGCCACCCAGAGTTGGGCTGATCGCAGGGCACCTGCATGTGGGGCCTTTGGGGCATGTCTCTGGTACCTGCTGAGAGGCGGGGCCTGGTCCTGGGCGTCTGCATCTCCTGGCGGGCGTGGGGCAGCATGTGGTAGCGCTTGGCCTCGTTGACCAGGTCCCGGCACGCTTCCGACGACTTGATGAGCTCCTCATTGTCCACTACGTTGAGCAGGTAGCTGGGGTGGATGAAGGGCAGGCGGACCACCGCCAGGAGCTCTGCAGCGTGCTGCAAGGTCAAGGACACATGGGGCTCTCTCAGATCATATAGCCGGGGCCACCCTTGTGGCTTGTATTAAGAAGAAAGAAAGCAGAGGTGTAGGACAGGACGACATAGGTAATGCCAGTCTGTCTGGCTCAGAAATGTGGGTACTCGGCTCACCCAGCCTCAACAGAGACAAAGGGAGCACCCGTCAGCCAGAGGCGAGGACAGGAAGGAACGGGGAGGTGTGGTCTGCTGCAGCTGACCCTGGGGTGGACCTCCCTTTTGTCTCTTCAGCACCTCATTCCCTTCTCCAGCCCAGTCACAAGCCTCTGTCTCACACCAGGCTGCAGGGGGACTGAGATGAGGAAGGCCCGGTCCTCGGACAGGTGTGTCCATGGCAGGAACTCAGGAACAGATGGGAGGACCCAGGAAAGCTGATGGCGATCGATCGGCAAGCTTGCAAGTCACAACTGTCGGAACCTGTGTCTCCCCAACACTAACAAACCCCTTTAGTGGCGTCCCCTTGCCTCAAGCTGGCACCTGGACCCTGCCGCTCTGTGTTGAAGCTGCAGGGTAGACACGGGCTTGGAGGGAGGAAGACTGAAGGCAGGAAAACCACGCAGAGGTGGCTGCAGGAATCCTGGTGAGATTAGGGGGGCCTGAATGGGGAGAGGGAGACGTCGACCCACTTAACGGGGAGTGAGGAGGCAGAAATAAAGCAGTGTGTGTGGCTGCACTGACTCACTCCCAGGGGCTCCTCACACCTTGGAACCAAGGCAACCCCATTCTGCGTGGGGCCTCCAGCCAGTGCTTTCTGGCCCGGATATCCTGCGGGGCTGTGCTTGGTTCCCTGTGATTCAGGTTCCCCTCCTGGGGACCTGCCCTCCTTTCCTTCTGCCCTGGACTCTGGCTCTGATTCCTCCAGCTGTCTCCTCCGACGGACTCGTCTCCCTCCTGTCATGTGCGCAGTGGTTCCCTATCTCCAGCGTGGTTTGCATTTGGTCCAGCTGCTCTCTACCTTCTCAATAACCAGAGCTTGGGTGGGACTCCTCCTGCTGGGTCTGAGCTCACGGGAACCCCAGGGGCACCCTGGCTCAGGCACACACTTCTCCCTGCAGGGCCCTCGTGCTGCCCACCAGGCTCTGCAGCCTCTTGGTCAGCTTGGGTCTCCTGCAGGTGGAATGCCAGCCCTGGAGAATCCTCTGGTGACTGCTTTCTCATCTCTCGTCTCTCCCTCCACCTCTCTGCTGCCCACGGGAGCAGTTCCAGCCTCCTGGTGCCTGGGCCTACTGGCTCCTATCTGCTCCCCTGGCTGGTCAGACCCAGCAACCCGGCATCCTCTACCTTCCTTCATCCTTGCTCCAGGGGCCATCCCTGCACTGGGCCCCCGACACCAGAGAGAGGGTGGGCTGGGAGCGGGGAGGCAGGCCTTACCTGTGCCCGGGATGTGGGGTCCTTCTTGATCCACTTGATGACGGTCTCGTACACTAGCTCCTCGGCCTTGGTGTTGAGGCTGTCATTGGAGATGTAGGCGATGAAGTCGTCCTTGGAAACGCTGAGGATCTCCTCCTGGGCCGCCACCTCGGGGAAGAGCTGCAGTGCGAAGGCCTTGGCCATGTGGTAGAGCTCGCTGCACTGCATGGCCTCAGCCATGGCCAGCACCCCCAGGCAGTTGCTGGCTGTCAGCTGCTTCTCTGGGGGCGAGAGCACATGGCCACTGACCGTAGGGCCCCGGGCAGGGTTGCCACCCATTCCCACCACCTGTCACTGTGTACCCTGGTGATCTGCCTCCAGCATCCAGAGTCCCCACAAGCCCAGTTCCTGTACCCATTTCCTGGGGTTTCCTCCGCCCCATCTCATGCTGATTATCCAGGGGCCTCCCGCTGCTCCTGCAGGTCCCAGCAGAAGGACTGAGACTGTGGGGCATGGAGTGTCGGCACCAGACTCAGAGCTCCCTCACTCCCTGTGGGCCGTGGGGTGGGGGTAGGCGTCACACTGTAGAGGCTTATGGTGTCTTCCATAAGTGTGGCAGGCATGTGTGGGGTCGTAGGCTCCTGCTTTAGAGTCACGGCAGCAGTAACAGCCCACTCATGCCCACCTACCATCTCCCATGGCTCTCAGCTTCGCCCACCTCATCTCTAGCTCTGGGGCCAGTCTGGTCAGCTCTCCTGAGATCTGACTAAAAGTTATTCTAGCCAAGAAGTGCCTGGGTCCCAGGACACCCATACTTTTGTGAAGTTGTGGTTCACAACCCTGAAGCTGTGGTTCCTGATCCTTCTAGATTGCTCGGTTCCCGCGGGGTCACATTTCAGGCCCCTGGCTGTCTCTGTCTGAGCTGCTCTTGTCCCCAGGCTTAGCCCCTAGTCCTCTCTCTCTGCACTCTACACCCAGGCCACGGGTCCTAGTGACTCTCGTCTTTACCCCTCCCTCTCCCTACTGTCGCTCAAGCAGGGCAGCTCCAAATTGTAAAGTAAGTGTGTTTTCTGGGCTGGCGGCCTGCTGGAAGCCCCTGACACTCAGATCCCCATCCTGGACAGCAGGTCCTGTTGTCCAAAGGACAGTTCACATGTCTAAACCTGTGTGGAGAGCTGGCCGACTGGCTCAATTGGTTAAGAGCTCAGTCAAGAGTGCGAGCTCTGGGCCGGCTGAGTGGCGCGTTGGTTAAGAACTGGCTTGGGACACCAGAGGGCCCCGGTTCGGATCCCACATATGAGGGCCAGTGACACTGCCCTCTACAGCTAAGATGCTGAACAACAGCTCGACCTGGAGCTGGGCTGCCGTGAGACGCCGGCGATGGCAGGTAGGTTGCCATGGGCTACCGTGTGTAGCCAGCAGCCAGTGTGAGCGGCCAGTAGCCACAGTGAGCGACCGCCCAGAAGCTGGCGACTGATCTGCCTCACCCGGGAAGAGCGCAATGATGGTGCCAACTTGGGCCAGTGAAGCAACGTCCTCCACAACTAGACTGAGGAACAAAATGATAGCAACTTGTCTGTTCCCCTTCTCCCAATTCCCCCCCCCAAAAAAAAGTAAATAAAAAAAGAGAGCGAGCTCTGAGCAACGGGGTCGTCGGTTTGATTCCTGGCCCGAGATGAGCTGCTGCTGAGCTGCCAACAGGTGGCAGGATGGCTCAGCTTAAAAAAATAAAATAAAATAAATTAAAAAATAAACCTGTGTGGATACGTGGTGTGGTGCAGGTATTAGGTTAAAGGGGAAAAAAGATTGTGGCTCCTTTGTTCAGTGTCTAGAAAACAGGGATGTGAGGCCAGGGCCCAGGGTCCCCACAAACAGGCCATTCACATAACCCTCGGGGCCCCATTTGTCCCCACAAAGCTGCCTGGGGTCACAGTGCCTCCTGCCCCGCCCATAGGGAAGCGATGCACAGGGGTCGTCTGTCATGCCGGGTGAGCAGGGATCCTTGCCTACAGTTATCTGAATTCTCATCTTAAAACTGCTTTGTGAACTGCAGCTTCCCCTGAGGTGGGTGTGCACACACAGCCTTCCCCTCTAAGTCCTTGCTGGTGTTTGAATTTTTCGCACCCCTGCCCTCTTCCCCGGCCCCAGGTGCCAGGCATGCTCCCTGGGCTCACCCAGAAAGGACACACAGACTTTGCAGAAGGTGTGGAACTGGAACTTGCTGGCCGCCTCCAGGAGGGTCTTGGCATTGGCCGAGTCGATGACCAGGGAGCCTGTGTAGACAAATTCCAGCAGCAGCTCCAGGACGTCGGCCTGCAGGTTGGACAGGACGAGCTCCAGCTTCTCCCGGCCACACTGGCTGCCGTCTTGCACCGACCTAGGCACAGAGACCAGGGCGTCCTTACCTGCCGCCCCGCGGCCACGACGCCGCCTCCTCACAGGGCTACATCTCCCTGCACACCTCGGTCACGCCCTTCATTTTAGGACTCAAGGGACACGGCAGTGACACACCTGAACCTAATGACCTTACACGAGATCTGAAAGAGAAGTGTCTGACCAGAGACGCCCCAAAGAACAGAAAACCCTGCTTATCACTACTCGGCATGTCCATGCAAAAAAAGATGCAAATCAAAAAGCATGAGCTGTGGATGGGGACGAGGACCAGGACTGGCCTCAAAGGGAAACAATACGGTTCAGCCCCGCTGCTGACCCTGGCGTCTCCGCCAAACCAGGCCAGCGGGTCCCGGGCCCGGGACCTGTCTGCCTCTGATGGGAGACTCTCCAATGTGACTGAGGCTCCCAACCGGCTGTGATCACAGCCAATCCGGAGGCTTCCTTGATTGCCCCAAAGACTGAGGGCCCCAAGCTGTCCCGGAACCCTGACTCCAACCCCCACCTCGTTCCAAAAACATATTGTTTCCTTTTAGGCATGGAAAGGAAGCCCTTCATGACATTGCTTTGAAACTGAGGACGAGACGAGATAGACGGACAGAATGGTTAGAGCTGGGAGGAGGGGAAGGGGGAACGACCAAGGACTTCCGCCACAGACAGCCAGCAGCCATGACCTGGGACCTGGCCCGGGGCGGGGCCCTCCTGCCACATGGAACACGGGGTCAGAGGTCAGAGTGGCCTGCGTGTAGAGTGTGCATCGGGCTTGTGAACTGGGGGGAGCAGGGGAGGGACACAAATATATAAATATGTTTATATCTGGTGTCTACAGAAATACAAAACCATTGTAAAGGCTCCCAAGGCCTGGCAGCCGCACCCTAAAGCTGGACCTGGAAGGAAACAGATAAGATGAAGCAAAAATCACACCAATACAGAAGTGACCAGGAGGAAAAACACCCAGAGTGTTAAGAGTCAGGAGGCAGATTTCTCAGAGGCGATCGGCTTGGCACCCCATCTCGGCCGCTCTGACCAGCCCTGCTTTTCTCCCGAGCCTGGCCCTGCCTGGGGCTGGCTTCAGCTACGTGGCTGGAAATGACATCTGCCTTCCTCCCACTCGTGAGGAGTCCAGGGGCCAAGCCTCTCTTGCCTGGTCCCTTGGGTGCACTTGTGGCTGGCAGTGGGGTGTTGGAGGTGTCTGGCAATGAGCAGGCTAGCCCCAGAGAGAGGCTGACTCCTATGTGGGCAGGGAGCTAGGGAACCTGGGTGTCACAGCTCTGCTCCTCACAGAAGGGCAGCCTTGACTTCTCTGGCCCTCAGGTTCCTCTTCTGCAAAACAAGAGGACTGAACTGGATGAGGTCTAAAGTCCCGTGAAGAGTTGACGTGACAGAGGTTGAAAACACCCTTCCCAAGAGAGTCAGTTCTACACGACAGTACCTGAAATGCCACCATTACAGCAACATTCTCTCTGGTTAGGCACTGGCTCCCCAGGGCCTTTAAAACACAAATATAACCTGGCCAGGGACAGGTGTCGCTGCTGTCCTGCTGTCCACAGAATGGCTCATTCTGCCTCCAAGCCCTGGGCAGCCCCAGAAAGCTGAGGGGGGAAGGTGCTGCTAAACAGAGCTTCTGAGCAGAGCCCTTTCTCAAACCCTAGGTGTACACTGTGTGTGTGACTTTAAAGTGACTTAACACACCTGGTCTTCTGTCAGGATGGATTTCCATGCTTGGGTGACTTTGTTAAGTATAAAAATAATTCATTATGTGATCCCTTGAAACCACAGAAACTGTGAATGCCCCAGGCCTCAAAGGCCATCTGGTCAACCTCTACTCTAAGTCTTTTTGCCTCTACCTTTAGTCCTACATGACCTGTCTTCCTCATGTCCTTCATGCTCTGCAGAGGTCACGAGGCCAAAGTAGGGCTGCTCACCTTCTGTCAAGGCCCCCAGCCACAGCTGCCTCCACTGCTGGCCGGCCCTTCTGCCTCCCCACGAGTCGTTAGCAGAGGAGCTCAAACTCAGTGACAAGCTGAGGTGGGACTTCAGGACGCACACACGTGTGTACATACATACACACACACACACACACACACACACACACACACACACACACACACACGCTCGCACTGAAATTCATGTGACATGATCCTGAGAACTGTGGAACCACCTGTGAGGAGGGCTGTTTAGCAGATGGAAGGCCAGTGGAGCCCACGGCCCCGAGTGAGCAATGGGTCTGACGGGATCAGTGTGGCTGCACTTCTGGGGAGATGCTTTTCTTGCCCAGAGTCGGAGCCAGAAGCAGGGTCTTGGGGACAGGGTCGGGCCAGCATGGCTGAGGAGCACAAGGATTGCATGGGGAGGCACAAAGGATATCGACCATCACAGGTACTGACCAGGGTTGGAGAGGACCACCATCTCGGGTTGGAGAGGGCCACCATCCCTACAACCTATGGCTCTGGCTCTGTTCCCTGGGGCCATCCAGGGACAGAGGGGGCCGCTGGGCAAAAGATCTGCAGGGAGTGGCTGGAGGCCACTGGGGCCAGATGCCAGACACTGTGAGCTGAACTGCCATTCCACTTGGCCACACAGGAATACTTGGGAACATGATGGAGGCTTTGTCAGGTGTCTGAGTTCAAGATCTGTAGAAGGCGAGGCCCCAGACAGTGAGGCCTTGTGCAGCTCACCTGCCTGTGGGTGTTTGCCTTCCACGTAGGTGTTTGGGTGTGGCTCAAACGGTGGTGGGGCTGAGGGAGGCTGGCGGTCACTCTGTGTCCATGACTATCAGACTGCTCCTTAGGTCTCTCTCCTCTGAGCAGGGAGATCCTGGAAGGTGTCACCCCTGATCGGTGGCCCTGGTCACTGATAGGGAGCTGTGTCCCCCAAAGATGACCATCTGTCCCTGTCTTAAGCTGGGTCTCAGGGTCCCAATGTCCTGTTCCACTCAGCCCCATGGAGTACCTGAGGAGCTGCTGGACAATCAGGGTCATGGCATGACCTTGGAGGGACATGGAGCAGGGCAGGAAAGGGCAGTGATAACCTTGCCAGGTTGGGACTATGAACCTGACACTTGGGTGTGGGAGTGAGGGGCAGGCTGGTGCTGCGCAGCCAGCACAGGGCGCACATGTTCTGTCAGAAGACTAAAGCCTCCTGGGGTCACTTTCTCCCAAGGGTGTGTGTGTGTGGCCCCGGGGGAGGCCAGGGTATGGGACACAGCCTCTGTGGATGTACCAGGAATGCCTTGTCCCAAATATTAAATTGTGTGAGACCGTCCCCCTCCTCCCCTCCATTAGCAATTCCCTTACTTGGGATAAGAACTGCCCTCTCCAGGCTTCAGGACAGAGGAGTCCCTCACCCCGCACACACCTCAGTGATTGGATGCTTTCATTTTGCAAGCTGGACCCGGAATAATGGGAAGGAACTGTGGGAGCAGTGGTGGGTGGGAGGCAGTCACGGAGCAGGTGACGAATGTGGCTGGTGCCCTGTTCTACTCAGCAGGATGACCCTGCCCTTCTGATGTCATTCCTATCCTGCCTCACGCATAGGAGCCCGGGCATGTCATCAGCTCCAGGGCACAAACGCGGGCACGCACCAGTCTTCCTGGGTCCTGAGGCTTTTTGCAGCTCAGGCGTGCCCTGGCCCACCCATGGTGACTTGGCAATGGGCCTTGCTCACGTCCTTCTGCCAGCATCTGAGATGTGTGAATCTCTCCATTTGCTATCTGGTCGTCCAGCCACACCTGTCTACTCTACCAGGAAAGGGGGCAGACTGCCCAACGTCAATGGGAGGGAGGGGAGAGGCATACGGTTTGATGATTGCTTTAAAATCTAGCAGGCTTCCCTATGTCCGGGACCTGTGCTGCTCAGATCTTTTCAGCTTCCTCTGGAGGGGGAGATGGATGAGAAGCCCAGAGCCTATACATGGGGTTTGCGAAATCAACTTAGAAAAATAAATTTGTCCATTTTCATTCAATATGAACAGAGACTATAGCTCAGATGTGCATTTCCTCCCTCACCTGGACTTTGGGAGTGTGTTTGGAAGTCCTGGCAGGGAAGGCAGTGCCCATGCTGTCTCTAAAGAAGAACAGTCCCCTGTCCTCGCTGATGGGACCTGCAGCCAATCTGGCCAGTGACTGCAGCCAATGCCCCCTGTGGCTCCAGCTATCCCTGAGAACTTCTCGGCACCCAGGGAACAAGTGAAGGGACTCCTTCAGGGGTCAAAAAAGGAACGCCAGGGCAGGTCTAGGCCCTGCTCACTGGGGTTGAGAAGTGACTCTGGACTCGGGAGGCTGTAACCCCAGAGCCCCACTAGGTCTAATTTGCTCAAAATGTCCTCCTTCCTTCCCGAAGCCTGGGGCTCAGACCACTGTCCTCTCTACTCAGTTCTGCTGGGTCCTCCCCATCCCCCAGCCTGGATGCAGGCGAGGCGGGGCGGATAGGCAGTACAACCCTTCACATTGTGCAAAGACAAAGCCGCAGCTCCTTTTGCTGCAGGGTTTTCACCCCCGGTTGTCACAGGGATCAAATGGGGCCACAAAGGGATGGAGGGACCGGTCCAGCATTTTCAGCAGAGGCTTGGCTCTGGCCTTATGTGCTCTTCTCCAGGGCCTCCTGGAACTCTAGACCTCCCTTTGGGGGACATGCAGGTGTGAGAGTGAGTGCCTGTGACGAGGTACCTGTCTCAGGTCGGGAGTATGCCTTCTTCGGGCAGATCCTGTGGCCGCTTACAAGTGTTTCTAACAGACACACATGCACACCCACATGCACACACGACATCTCTGCATCCATTTTCCTTGCACACGGGTCCATACTGTCAGCCTGAGATTTCGTCTTCCTTCCTCGCAGACTTTGTGCACAAATAAAACTACACTTCATTCTCCTCTGGGTTAGCGATGGGTGGTAAGAGCGTGAGCTTTGGAGTCAGATTTCTATTTGAATCTCAAATCTACTGGCTGCATCAACTTCTCTGGGCCTCAGTTTACTCATCTGCAAAGTGAGGATACTCATGCTACCTGCTTCTTGGGTTAGGGGGAGGATTTCCAGGATGACAGGAGACATCTCTACAAACCTCCTTGCCGGCTGGTCTTGCCCTCATCAGGGGAAGAAGAGTTTGGAGCTAAGTAAGGGAAGGCTAGAGGCAAGAAGCTACCACAGCCTCACCAAGAGTATGAACTCATGTGAAGAAAGGACATGTGACCAAGTGGGGGTTGGCCTGGAGCCTGGACCTGGAGAACAGGGGCCCTGGGCAGGACATTGGCGTGGTTTCAGGGCTGATGGGCAGCTGAGCTGAAGGGGAGCCCGGCCGCTGATTAGGACAGGATGCTCTAAGACCTGCTTTCTGGCTTACAGTCTGATTATCATCTTCACACAACACAAATCTGACCACGACACCCCGAGGCCTAAACAAAGCCCTGCAATCTGACCCCTGCACCTGAAGCCTCATTGCCTCCACGCTCACCTCACACTTGGAGACGCACCTGCAGTGCCCTAACCTGCCAGCTGCCCTCTGCCTTGAACTTGCTCCTCTCCAGTCTGCAGCTTTTCCCCCACGCCTGCCTGGCCAATCCCATTCTGGGTTCAAAACCTGCGTCAGATGCCACCTCTTCTTGGCTATCCCTGAACACCCCTTCCCCCGACAGAGTTAGCCCTTGGCCTATGAGCCTCTAAACTTTCTGTTTTCTTTCTTTTTTTTTTTTTAAATTTGACTTTCTACAGCTCTTTCTGTTGTGACCCTCTCTGTGGCTCCTGTTTCTAAAAAAATTCTGGATGCGTTAAACCTCCCCTCTGCGTCTTCCTGCTCTGCCCCTTGCTCTGCCTTACAGTTTCTCCCCTACCAGACTGTGGGCTCCCCAAAGGCAGAGACCCATCTTGTCTAGTGTTTCCTGTGAGGCCTGGCACTCAGGAGGGGTCCCTGATTGTTTGCTTATGTCTGTCTTGTGGTTCCAGATGAGGCGTCCACACCTGGGGCTGAGTGCTAGACAGGTGTCCTCACTGGGCCTGGAGTAGTGAACACGTCACCGGAGGTGGGAAGGAGTCCAGCCCGAGCCTCCAGGCCTGGGGGTCCTGGGGCAGCAGGGGGAGGTCACTTGCCTCTGACAGTGCTCGCATAGGCCCTCAGGAAGGTAAGGACCAGGACGTTGTGTTCCATAGATTGTCCCTACTCCTTCTGCTTATGTTAGTGCAGCCGCGCGAGAGGGAGGCCCCTGTTTGGGGTTCACTGGGCAGGGTCACATCTCTCCTGCTGGGCCATTCCGGCTGCTGCACGTGAAGTATCCAGGGTCACAGGCTCAAGGAGACTGAAATGACAGGGGAACATGGGCTGCTCCCTGACCTGTCAGAATGTGAAATTCTCGAGGATTTTACATGGTCAGAAAGGAAGTCATCTTCCTGCAGAGAGGGTCTGCTTTCCTCCCCACAGAAGGAATTCGCTTGCAGCGATCGGCAGGAATGGTGACGTGTGCCCGTAGTTGGGACAAGGGAGGTAAAATTTAAAATGGCTACAAGTTAACATTTTGATCTTCAGCCGCACTGTTGGACTCTGCTTCAGCCTCCCTTCCTCCCTGAGGGGCGCTCCTGTACGCTGAAGACCCAGGCCTGTCTCCCCAGATCTCCCTGGTTCCATCCGTCTGGCTGCCTAGCAGCTGTCTCTACTTGGGTGTCCTTCAGGCTGCTGACACGGGACATGCCAAACGCTCCATCCATCATCTTTCCTCAGCTCTCCCGCCGTTGGCCCGTGGGCTCCCCTCCTCCCTGTCCTCACCCTTCTCACGTCCTCCTGCCTGTGTTGTAGTTGGGAAGCCTCTCCAGGACTGGCCCTGCCCATCCCCTTACTGTCACTCTAGGATGTCAGAGCTGGAAGGAAACCTGGACATCATTCGAACCAACTTCCTGTTTTACGGATGAGAAAACCTGAGGCCTGAGAGAGAAGATGTGACTTGCCTGGGGTCATAGGACAAGTGGCAGAGTCAGGTGTAGAACCCAGGTCTCCTGGCTCCCAAGGGGTTGCCCTCTCTTCTCCAGTGACTGCCTCTTAGTCCCAGCACCCATCCTATCTGGTCAGGGTCTGAAGCACATCTCAAGTTCTCCCACCTTTGGGCGGGCATCCCTTCCCCACGGCTTCTGATGGCTTCCCCAGCCTAAGGCCAAGCCAGGGCCCTAGTCCAGGAGTCAGAGCCTGCCTGCCCATCCCACCTCAACTCACACTTATCTCTGGAAAGGCCTTCTTCCCCTCCCCACTTCTCATGACTGTCTCTGTCCCCAACTTTTCATTCCAGGCAACCCATTCTTTGCCTAGAACATTCTAGAACATTCCAGAATATTCCTCGCAGTTCAGAACATTCCAGGCAACCCACCCCTTGCCTGGAATGTTCTTCCCCTTTTTGGATTGTCTAAGAAGCCTTTGGGTTCCCACCTGGTAGTGTTCTCTTTTCTGTTGTGTGCAAGAGTTTGGTTTTACATGTCAGGTCTCTGAAGACAATCAAAGGGATCCTGTGTTCCTCTTGCCCACATCTTTTTAGACCAGCGCTGGGCCACTGCTCAGTACCAACCTGCCCCTGCATCCTGCCCATTCAGTGCTCTCTAGCTGGTCTGGAGCGGGGACCAAGGCCCTAGGATGCCACATTCAGCAGCTAGGTGCTGGTTACTGCCAGTTTCAGAATTTGCCAAGAGTGGCAGCGCAAAGACCTCCCTTGGCCCGAAGAAGCCACTGGACGTGCCCCTTCACCCCAGAGATCATGCCCCTGACCACTGTGCTCAGACAGAGAGAACCCAAGCAGCAGGGGGGAGACCCAAGCTGTTCATGAGACTGGAAGTCACAAAGAGCCTGCCCCTGGCTGGGGCCGGGACAGCCGGGCAGGGCTTGCACGCCGGGCAGCTCAGCTCTAAGTGAAAGGACACAACGGATTGGAAAGGAGATGCCAGCCAGTGTGCCATCCTGAAACAAAACACAGTCACTCTGGGATTAGTTGGCAAGTCCAAACACAGCATTGGGAAGCAAGCAGAGGTCCTGTTCTCCCACTCTGAGCACAGTCCCGGCTCCGCGTCTGCCCCGGAGAGGCTGCAAGGCAAAATGAGCAGCGGCATTAATCTGCTGATGGGTGAGAGAAACAGGAGTGTTACCCTGGGCCGGCCCCCTCGGCTGCTCTCCCTCACTAAGGAGCTAGAAGGTGGCCCCTGACTTCTTTGCAAGGGGATGAAGCAGACAAATTAAAAAAAGTCAACGTAATGGAAAAAAAAAAAAAGATGCTCATGCACCATTAAGACTCATTCAGGTAGAAATAGCCGGGCAGAGGGCGGACGGGGAGAGAGCAAAGGCTGAGAGAGACCGTGTTTAGGACACACCTGGTCTGAGCTCAGACAATGCAGGTTTAGGCTCAGTGTACAAGTATCAAGACATGCAGCGTGAATGAGGCTTTGGCTACAAGTCTCTTTCCCCTGACTCGGGCTGCAGAAAAGTGGCCCCTTGGGTGCCTGGTCCTCCTTAGCAGGGGGTGGTGGGGTCGATGTGCTTTCCTGGCATTAAGTTCACCATCGACAGCAGTGACGATGGTGCCAGGGACCCTGTGCTGGCCCAGTGGGGGCAGTGTGCAGTGGTCCCTTAATGTGGAGTCTACAGTCCTAATCTCAGGGAGGGCTTGTGGGCCACTAAGAACGCAGGATCCCCGGGGTGGGGCAGGGGTGTTGTCTCTTGCTGGCAGAGGCTCCTGGGGACCAGCAAAGCTGTGTGGGGCAGGCTGGGGGCAGTGGCTGCTCTGAGGCTGCGTGTGAGAGGGCGCTTGGGAGGAGGGGTGGGGGGAGGAGAGATGGCTACTGGCTCTGTGACAGGGAGTCACGCTTCAGGAACCTGCAAGAGAGGGGAGGAGAAAAGCGACACAAAAGCGTCCTACAAAGGAACAGACCCGACCACAGCTGGAAGGAAGGCAAACCTTTGAATCAGGTCCTTGAAATACAAGCTGCAGGAAGCTAGAACATTTTGGTGGACTTCAAACTCTCTGCCTTCAACAACAATTTTCAGGTCTGTAAACGCTTTCGCTCTGCGCTGCTGGTTCAATTCCTTCAACATTTCTGCAGAACAGAGAAGACAGACAGGGCCAGGTTCCCATTAAGAGGTTTTTTTTTTTTTTTTAAATTAAAAAAAATTTCTTTTTCCCAAGAAGTAGAGAAATAGGAAAATACTTGATACTGTTTCTTGGCAAGACTGGCTCAACACTGACAGTCCAAAGAAGTCACAAACATAACGCATAAACAAGCAGCAACTGGGGGCTACATAACCAAAGGAGTAACAACTTTCAAAAGCAAAAAAAAAAAAACAACAAAAAAAACCAAACCCAAATACGATAAAAAAAAAAAATCAAACCCAGAAATTGAAAGGCCAGGGAAAAAGAGTCCCATAGTGACAATTGGAAACATAGAGAATACGTTATCACAGACAACTAAAAAGTGTTATCCCACTACGGAACAAGTTCTCCAAATGTCAATGAGTGCCGATGTATTTGATACCAAGAAAAGCATGGCCTTGTGATGTAGAATGGGCTGGATATGGTTCAAAGGAATAAAACCCACAAACCCTGCAAAAACAGCATCCCTTGTGTTAGACACAGCCATGGCTGGGGAGAGCTTCTTGGGGAGGGAATCCCTCGAAAGGAGGGGCAGAGTGGGGGCCTGGTGGGCGCTTCCTCCAGTTTCACACTTCCAGGACCAAAGCCCGGGCAGCATTGTGTGCACCTCCTCCCACGTCCTGGGTCATTCAGGACTCCCACCCTGCCTGGGGCTGCAGCATGGGACAGCCTGCCTTACAGCCCCAGCAGGTCCCAGGCGGTGGCCTCTGGGACCTTCCCACCTTGATGCACACCTACCTTTGCCTGGTGTCCTGGCCACCTGAGGCTGGCATAGAGAGTGTGCCAGGCCCATGGGCTCCGAGCCTGGGGGATGTCAGAAGCTTCTCCCAGACCCACCTCAAGGCTCAGAAAGGGGAAGGAGAAGAGCCCGACTGCTACTCTGCCTTGTTTGTATAAACTTATTTGCAAAAGTTAGGACCTTCAGATGACCAATGCTCCCATGAGCCTCACCTCGCCTGCCTGCCTCCTGGACTCCTGGGCAGAGCCTGCCCTCAGCATTGTTGGTAGCTAGACAGCAGAGGCCCAGAGGGCCCCAAGGACCTAGACCGTTATCAGGCACATTACGGCCTGTGGCAGGTGAGTGAGAAGGGTGGTCTGCAGAACTGAGCCCAGCCCTCTACGCCCCCCGCCATCTCTCCAGCCCTGCAGGTCTATCCTGAGCACTGGCTGATATTCTGGAATCACCCTCTAGTGTGCCCTGCTCCAGCCTGACCAGTCATCACTGACCACACAGGCTGGCATCTGCTGCCTGCCAGGTGGCCCTGCTGAGCCCAGCTCTGCCTCTGATATCTGTATGCCTGTGGAAAAGCCCCCACACTCCCTGATCCTCTGTTTCTACACGGGGATGGAGGTTCCCACTCTGTTCCCAGAGCCTGGTGAAGATTGGATGCTCAGGCTCAGGGATATCAAGGACCTGTGGACTTTGAGGTCAGGCAGGCCCTTCTCTGTGAGGACATGCCAGGCTCTGGCTCTGCTGGAGACCAAGGAAGACAGCGAGGTGGGGGTCCTGGAGCACACCCTGCATGGGGGCCCGAGATGTGCGGGCAATGCAAACCACCCCCCCCCACACCCCACCACCCCCATGTCAGGCTGAGCGGGAGTCGCAGCCAGGCATCCGCAGGGGTGTGTGTGTGGGATGGCACTGCCTGGGGCCTGCAGAAGGCTGCTCACAGGTGTGCTCAGGCAAGCAGCAGGGCACAGAGCACCAGGTGGAGGGCATGGAGGTGCCTACAGGCAGATCCAGCGGAGCAGAGGGCCGGGGGCGTGACGGGGATTCGATGTGTGGGCAGGCAGGGTCAGATATCAAGAGTTTGGAGATGGCTGGAGCTTAACCCCTGGGCCCCGGGAAGCCACCAGAGAGTCTGTGCAGAGTGACATTTGACTTGGGTTTCAGGCACATCACTCTGGCAGCCACGTTAGGGGCAGGATAGGCAGTGATGGGCGGAGGTAGGAAAGCACCATGTGGAGAGCTGGGCTTCCGAGCCAGACCTAGGAACACCTGAGCCCTGACTCCCCTCAGCTGTGTGACCTTGGGAAAGTGAATCAACATCCCCAAATGCTCAGTTTCCTCCTTTGTTGAAGGTTAAAATCACGTCAGTCGTATGCCTAGCACACAGTAAGTGCTTACGAATGGGCGGTAGGCTCCATGCTATCGTTGATGGTGGTGATAACTCCATAATCCAAGTGAGAAGTGACAAAGGCCTGAACTACAGCAGTCACAGAAAGACAGAGAAAGGATGCTATGGCCCTCAGTGTGAGAGGGGATATGGGGAGGGCAGGGGGGTACCATTTCCAGAGTCCTGGAGGGACATCGGGAAGGGAGGGGATGATGAGGGTTAGGGCCTGTGGGACAGTAGGGAGGAGGGGGCAGAGGAGTTCAGTGGCTGGGGCCTGGGCATGGAGAGGCTGCTCAGGGAGAGCCTGCAGGGTCAGGCTGCGCTGAGGCTGAGCTGCTATGCTCACACATCAGCTCCAAAGAGAGCCACCAACAGAATTCACTCCGAAACCACGAGCCAGGTGGATGATGGCACCTTTTTGAGTGGAGCCGTGTGGGGGTTAAGAGCAGGCTGTGGGGCTGAAACTCCAAAGGCCTGGATGAAGGTTCTCATTCCGGCTTTGCCACCAATTGGCTACGTGACCCTGGGCACACTGCCCCAGCTTTCAGGGCCTCAGTTCCCTCAAGCAGCCAGGGCACCTGCTCTGTTGCCCTCTGGTCGTAACACTGCTGTGAGTGACAGACGCAGCCCCATATGCCTGCTGAGCACCATGCTCAGGGGGCCTGGAAAACGGCATCCACAAAATGCCACTCCTCCCGGGCCCAAAGCATTCTCATTGTTTGGGACGACTTTCCTTCAGACCCAGGTAATGTCAACACCCACAGCCCCAGCCCCAGCCCCAGCAGCCATGCCTGCCTTCCTGGGAATTCCAGGGGGATGTGGGAGGTGCTTGGAGACCCAGGTCCTTGCAACTGTAGGTGCTTTCTACTCCCACTTTGTGGAAATCTAGATTTTATAGCTGGGCAGGATTACTCAGTTTCAGAAGAATTTTTCAATTTATGAAAGTGCTCACCAGGGGATTCCTTTTTCACAGCAGGGCCTCGAGCGCATTCAAAGGATTGATCAGTCCGAATGTGCTTACTGCTGCCGGCTGAGTGCCCAGCCAGAGAGGTGGCATTTTGGGACATCACAACCCAGGAGCCATAGGAGGAAGCCGGCACCAGTTCTGGGCACAAGCTGCCCTCCTGCCCACCCCTGTGCCGGCAAAGGACAGCCCCTTAATGTCAGAGAAGCTTGGAGGACTGTGGGGAAGCCTTCCAGCAAGCCCTGTGCCCATGTTGGGCAGTCTGCAGGCCTCAGGGTGGAGCCTGGCCAGGCCTGGGTCGTCAGAGTGACTCCAGCAGCACCCCAGCATCCTGCAGAATTTGACTGCCTCAGGCTTGTGGGAAAGGGGATGACCTGGAGGCCGTTGGGGCCTCCTCAGGAACGGTGCGGTGGGGCTGGGTGAGCGAGAGGTCTGCCAAGCAGAGCTTCGGCCGGGATGGGCTCCATCCCACCGAGTGGAAGCAAAGCCTTGACCTCAGGATCCCTCCTTGTTGGCTGGCTTTCTGATCTTCGAGCGTTTTTTCTAACTTTGAGTGGGATGTCCCTCCCGTGCCTTTGGGACCCCACACCCTTGCTTGCCCACTGCCTTTGGCCTTGTCCTTCTGTGAACTTCGCTTTGCTGCACACCTGGTAAAAAGCACAGGGCCACCTGTTCACTAGGCAGCCTCCCTGGCTCCACTCCTCCCCTGCCCCCTACCAAATCCCACCTCTTTTACCACCTAGAAATCTCCGTATCCATTCTCTCTGGCCCCATTTCATGCTAGTTGCCATCTTCTCACCTGAGCCATTGCAGCAGCCTCTGAGGGTGTCTCCCTGTTTCTGACCTGTCCCTCTCCAAGTCACCTCCACACAGCAAGCCAGCCATCGGCCACTGCTTAAATGAACCCTTCTAGGCTGAGCAGAGGCAGCGAGGCTCTCTGAGTCGGGCCTCAGCTCCTCCATTCCAGGGCCGGACAGGGCCAGCCCTTCACCCCCCAAGAAGCCTTACCCAGGCAGGTCTCCCTTCTAAGCCTTCACTCATCTCTCCGCCCCTCTTCCTGACCTTTCTGCCTCCCTTTTTCTGGCTAATTACCATCTATGCTTCAATGCCAGTTAAGATACTATTATAACCCCTGTCCTCTGCCCTCCTTAGCATGCTCCCCTAGCACCCTTTAGAGCATACTACGTGTTGTAATGATTTATTTACATGTCTGCCTCTGGCACTCCATTGTGTTTTATTTATATTTTTATCATCATCACTTAGCACAGGGTCTGGCTTATATATAGTGGGTGTGGTAGAGTGCAAAAATTCTTTGTAGCCCCTCCCACCAAGGGGTAGAGTTTATCTCCCCATCCTTTGATTCTATATATATATTTTTTTTAGCTGAGCCATTCTGCCACCTGTTGGCAGCTCAGCGGCTGCTCAGCTTGGGCCGGGACTCGAACCGCTGTTGCTCAGAGCTCAAACTGTTGAGCGAGCCCTTAACCAACTGAGCCACTCGGCCGGCCCTGCCCATCCTTTGATTCTTGACTGGCCTCGTGCCTTACTTTGGACCAAAGAATGTGGTCAAAAGGACATTGTGTGAGTGTGAGCCATGGCCTCAAGAGGCTTCGCTTGCTTTTGCTAATTTTCTCGGGACCCCTGCCACCACCACCATCCTAACTAGCCTGGGATAGTCTGTTGGAGGCTGAGGGACCTCATGGAGCAGAGATGAGCTGTCCCAGAGGAGCCATTTATACCAGCCAACCTCCATCAGTATCAGCTGATCCTGACCCAGCCTGACCCAACCCAAACTGCAAACCAGAATCATAACCTAAATAAGGGGTTGTTGTTTTAAGCCACTAAATCTTAGAACTGTTTGTTATG